TAAGAGTCCTCTACAGTAGAAAGAGGGATTGGGTTGGTTGGCATGCTTTTTCGCTTGTCAGCCATATTGGATTGAACAAAAAATGTCTTGCTCTTGCCGTGGAAGCGCAATTGGTGTATTGTATGATGCACTAGCGTCCACTTCAGTGGTCTATGTGCATTTATAGCATAAAAATCCAGAAGAAACATAAGAGAATGGCTTTTAGATAGCAGTGACCACTAGGCATGAAAGGGATAAAGAGTTTTTGTCACTGCCATCAATTTATTTTAGATTTAGTTGCAAATAAATCTAAAATATTTATATTTAATATTAAGATTTAATATTTTTTACATTAGCATACAACATCAGTATACATAAATATATATTTTTATTTTTGTATGGGAGTCTGGGTGAGCCCCGGTGACGGACCGGTTCGGTCTGCGGCCCTAGTCAGTGCAGCTCGCGCTCTCCTATGTTTAATACAGCGCGTGGTCACACGGGGCGCCCGCTCCACCGCTGCTCAGTTTGTGTTCCGGGTGATGCTGTTCCTGCCTTCAAAGCGGTCGGGGGGTGGGGGGGGTTTCGTGTGTCAACATCCAGGGTTTTCCCCGGGGAGGCGTAGCATTAATACCTGATGTTGCCTTGAAACAGCCTTTTCTTTTCCTCAGACCGCGTTAGCAACCTGCTAAAGAGCAGAAGACGCACCTTTTCTCCCGCCGCTTTTACGTTAGCTGATGTTATTTTAAAGGATGACAGAGTACGATGTGCCAACAGCCTCTCCGCTAATTTAATAATATCTGGAGACGAGCTAGCTTAGCCAGCTGGCCTTGTAGTTTCGGTGAGACCAGGGAAACGCTGCGAAACGCTCCGCTGACATGATGTTTCCTCAATCCAGGCACTCGGTGAGTAAAGTTAGCCCGGGTGAACTTGTCCCGGGTGGGAACGGAGCAAAGCCGAGCTAACGTTAGCTAGCAGCCGACAACTGATAACATGAGCGCTGCAGGTAGCTGTCAGCTGGCTGCCACAAAGCCAGACCTCTGCCCGTCTCTTCACCGCGTCTGGACCGACTAGTTAAAGCAGGTTTAAAATATAAAACATCATAGTTTATAGCTGAAAGGTGTATTTGGCTTTTTATTTTAAGCTGCTAAGTGTTTGCCATTAGCTAGCCTTCCTAAAAACAGCTAGCACAGGTGATAGAGGTTTATGTCCTGTTCAGTTCAAGTCTGTAATAATGGAGATATACTATTAAAATAACACAAATGCACAAGAAATAGCTAAACTACATATTTTTGTAACATTTGAGTACACATGCTTTATAACATTCCCCTTCTGTGACACTAAATATTATTAGCATTAGACAGACATGCCTTAATTGTTCTTTTTGTTTGACATAAATTCACATTTCCTGTTCTTGCTCTGAGTCAGTTGTGAAAACAAATTTTAAAAAATATGGAAGGCAAAAAAAAAAACAAAAAAAAAACATGAGCTGCAGCTTTGCATCTAAACTGGCTTTAACTGACTCTCTGTTAATAAACACATGCAAAACCTGTGTATACACATAGCAAGGTAAGAGCTATGTGTATAATCACACAACTATGTGTTTATTATAATCAGAGATATTTAAAGCTAGTTTTGCATATCTTTGGGTGAATTTTAGGATGTAACTGTTGCTCCCTTTTTTTTATTTCCCTGAGTGAGACCAGTTTGTATCTTTGAGGTCTGACTATTTTTACTAATTCTGCTTTTTTAAGCACTAAAACAAGAGCAGATATCCGGGTTATTTCATAGTAAGTGCTAGTTTTGAATCCAAAAGAGAACGAAGGAATTAAAAAGTAGTTATCACTTCCACATTAAAGCAAACGTTGATACTATTAGTGTCTGACACAATCAGCCTTTAAGATTTATAAACTGAATATCTCTTCACTGGAGGGAAAAATGTCACATTTTTCAGCATTTGACCGATCAGAAGCAGATATTGAGGGTTTGGGTTAGAGAACATTGATCATTGATCAAATGTGGTCATTGAGTCGTGCAGTCAGACTTTTATGTTATGTCCCAATAGCCTTTTGTAAACCAAAACCAAAAACCAAAAGTCACAGCTGCTAACTCCCATCTGTAGTTTCTGACTTTTTTTATTGACTTATTTTGAATTTATTATTAAACAAATAGAGGCCAGCTCTTTTCAGATTTATTCATTATGAAATCTAATGTGTATTTAGGGATGGGCTGGTTAGAAAAATCAAAAACTAATCCTACCATTGCTAAAATGACTGAATATTATATATATATATATATATATATATATATATATATATATATATATATATATATATATATATATATATATATATATTTTTTTGTCAATATATATAT